CTGTTCATCTGGAACACCGCATCTTCCCACCTTCTGGAGCCTCCAACATACACTGTCTTCCTTCCATCTCAGCGTAGACAAGCCCTTCTTGACCTCCAATCACATTGCGTCATCCAGTACTATTTATTTGTCATTTTGTACCACTGGGCCTGTGTTTATTTTAGAGCAAGGACTATTTTATTGACTAACCCTAGAGTCTGTGCATGGTAGGGTATAGATGATTTAGTAAACACATAAAGAATGTCATTCTTTCAAAGGCAAGAGCCTTTTCCTTTCCTCCCCCTGCTCTTTTCCCCTTGTCACTAAAATCCATGTCCCAGGTTGAAATTAGGTACTTTTTTCCTGTAGAAACATCGTTATGGCACATGGTCAGGTTCAGTAGCATCTGATGCAGGTATATAATGGATTAAGTTTGCAGGCCAGCCTGAGAACTTAACTACCGTTCATGACATTGTTTCTTTGAGGAAAAACATATCCATTTCCAAAACAGCTGAAGCATAGTCTTCTGGATCCTGCGCTTTAGGAAGTTGGCCTTTGCTGGTGGCTCTGCCATTGGTTTGGAAATCAGAGATGGTTTTCTATGCCCATGATGAGGACAAAGGTGAGTGTCCCCTGTCTCCATATTGGGAAAAGAAACACACCCATACATTAGAAAGCAGAGGGAAATGGTGTTGTGGTCTCACCCTCAGATGAGTAAAACCTCCTGAGAATTTAATGTGTGATTGTTTTTGTAAATGTGGCAAGCCATTGGTGTTAGCGCCTGGCCTCCACTTGAGCAAGGTTTCAGTAGCAGGTAATTCCCCTGTTCTTTTCCCTAGCTGTGTAGGGCAGGACCTAGCTCTTTGCTACTACCTCTTGTCACAGTCCTACCTTTTTTTTTTTTTTTTTTTTGAGGTGGATATTTGCTCTGTTGCCCAGGCTGGAGTGCAGTGGCATAATCATGGCTCAATATAGCCTCAGCCTCTTGGGCTTAAGCCATCCTCCCACCTCAGCCACCCAAGTAGCTGGAACTACAGGTGAAGACCACTATGCCTGGCTAATTAAAAAAAATTGTTTTTGGAGATGAGGTCTCACTATGTTGTCCAAGCTGATCTCGAACTCTTGAGCTCAAGCCGTCCTCCTGCCTCAGCCTCCCAAAGTGCTAGGATTACAGCTACTGCACCCAGCCATATCCCTAGCTTTTAAACTTTGCCATGGCTGAGAACAAATTAACCTAGTTGGAAGTTTACCAACAAGGAAAACAAAAGGAAAGGAAGGGATGGGGCAGCAGAGCAGGCAGTGTCATGACTCAGTTCCACTCAGATCTCATTCTGGATTTGGCTGGGGTAGAAACTTTAGGATGCCCGTGACTCATTGTCTATGGAAATAGCATTCTCTGACTTGTGCAGTGAGCTACCTGTGGAACTGTACATAGCAGCTCCCATAGGCTTGAAGGACCTTTCTGTAGCTGTCTTTGGAGGCAGTGACACTCTCCTCCCAATCGTTACACACATTTCTGCGTAGTAGTTGATATATGAAACAGGAAACCTAAATACATTTTGCAATGAGTTGAGAAGTAAATCCAAAACCAGATTTAGCTGAGAGTCTTTTGTTGCATGAGGCTGTGCACACAAAGGCAGTGAAGAGGTCTGGAATCAGACAGCTGTAGGTTTGCATGTTAATTGCATGATGATCTGACTCTGTGTGCACAGGGCCTGGTGCTCAGCATCCTACTTGGATTATGCCATTCAATCCTTGATAGCACTGTGAAGCAGCTCCTGTTGGATGAGGAAACAAAGATTCAGAGTAGATGTCACCCAAAGTTATACCATTGGTTGGAGGGAGAGCTGGAACAGTGACCAGGGATATCCAGCTCCAGAACCTTGAATCGAAACCTCTGTGGTATACTCCTGCTCGGTGGGTTGTCCCGAGCAATTGTTCTGCCCTCTGAGTCTTGTTCCTCATCTGTAAGATGGTCCTCGGGCAGCTGATTGTATTGAGAGACAGCCTGGGTATAGATGCATACCTCCAGCATACCTTCAGGAAACAGGCCATCCTTCTAGGGCCACAGAAATGCCCCTGAGACTTCTCTTCCTGTCATGGCACCGTGCTCTGCTTTCTGAGCACTGAAATTTGCAGGGATAGCCTGCCTACAGAATTTGTCCACTTGTTTAGTGGGGCTGGATGGTGTTGGTCCTGTTTACTTAATTCACTTGATGGGTTTCAGTCTTTTGAACTTAAAAAAGTAAGAAAATTGGATTTGTTTAATCTTGTTTTCCAACACAACAGTTCTTAATCTGCTTTCGAGTGTTTGTTTGTGGGCTGAATACCATTCAGTGTTAATCTAGTGACCTAGTATTGCCTGGTGATGAAATCTGTCCCTGCCGTTAGGTTCATTTGTGTTTCTTTGTGTTTCTCTCTCTCTCTCTCTCTCTCTCCTCTCCTCTCTCTCCTGTCTCTCCTCTCTCTCCTCTCTCTCTCTCTCCTCTCTCTCTCTGTCTCTGTCTCTCTCTCTCACACACACATGCACACACACACATACACACTTTAAAATTGGTCTTTAAAATCTCATAGTGTTTCCTGATCAAGACAAGAAGATCCCTGATGCCAAGATTTCTACCTGAAAGGTCAGTTTCAGCTTTGTAACAACTGCGTAATTGTCTCCTGAAATAAACCAGCATCTCAGGGACTGCAAGCTTGTCTTTTCAGTTATGTGAATGCAAAGCTCTTCTCTCCTAACGACTGCCCTGCCTGTGCCATTTCCTGTGGGCATGTGCAGTCATCTGGAAATGGCGGCTACCAGTTCCACAGCTGGGGACGACCCTGGCTTCTTTTCTGTAATGAGGATGTGTCTGCTTCTGCCATTGCCCCACTCTTTGTCCTCTGCCTTGTGGTCAGGAGCTGCTCTTCGTGCTTTCTTTTACCCCCAGTTGTTACTGCTGGGGAAAACTGTTTGGAATGGTCCAATGTCACCCCTGTAGGGTGCTCACCAAATCGATACTAATTCCTGCAGCAGCTTCCTGCCTGAAACTTTAAAGTTTGCTAATTAAGTACCATTAAGATGATTTGCTAGGTTCTTCCTCAAATGAGTGCTGGGTTCCTGATTGGGAACCTTGGTGAGAAAGCCCAGGGGCTGCATTCTGGCGTTTGGTGAGCCCCACAGGCAGCAGAGCCCTCCCTGGGGTAAGCGTTGGTTCTGGGGAGGTCCCTATTCACATGCATCATCTTCACATCAAATCTGCTTCTGTGCAAATACGCCTGAGTGTCTGCTTGGGTATCTGAGACCAAGACCACTGTAGGTCACGCAGATCTTTTTCATTCCTCCAGTCTTCTTTTGGGATGGTAGACATTACTGATAAGGTACTAAGTAAACTGGAATTTTAAACACAGGGTGTTTCCTTTTAATATTTCTGATTCTCTTTCTTATATGAAATGGGCCATTAAGCTTGTTCGGGATGGTGGTCCCAGGTCTCACTGTGTCAGCCCAGAGTGATTACTGAAAGATGCCGATGGTATCTAAAGGCCATCTGGAAAGTGTCGAGGTGGGTGGTGAGCTGAGGGACATGGTGAATTGAAGGGAGCTGAGGGTCTGTGTTCTGCATGGACAGAACGGAAATAGGCCTGTAGGAGAGCGTCCCAGGCACCTCTCTTGGTGGAACCTCACCGTAATGGGGGATGCCAGCTGACAGCTGGAGGTCGTGTATTCAGGTCGGCTGGGCCTGAAAGGCTCCTCCACAGGTCATACAGCTCCTTGTAGCAGCAACACATGGGCAAAGTATTTACTTCTCCTTCAGTGGGGCTTGTATCCACTTCTGTGATGCATGCTGCTTACCCAGCAATCGCCCCAGCTCACCCCTGGCTCTTTCTCCCAATCTTGGCCTATGCAAATGTGTTCCCCTGTGAGTTACCTAAGAATCCACGTGCATTTGTCTCAAAAGATAATTGATGGGCAGGGCCCTGGGAGAAGCCATCTTTAGTGATGCTCTGCAGAGGTGACTGTTGAGTCACGTGCTGGGGGTCTGTCTGGTGGGTTTGTGCACATGTGTACTCAGGCACGTGCACTGCTTCTACAGCATGTGGATACAAGGCACATGGCCGTGGGTTCCCCCATGCAGCTTTCCACATGGTTCACGGAATACCACCAGGGTCCTTGGTGCTGTTTCCATGTACCTTAACAGTGACAGCCATGGATTTCCAGGTGGCATTGAATGGCTAGAATTGGAAACCAGCTCTGTACTGGAGACCTGGGAGAAGTTACCTTCCAAGTGTTTTCTGTTTGTTTGTTTCATTTGAGAGCTCATGGCAGGCAGTGCCAGAGCCTAAACCTCCTGCTCGGAAAGGGGAAGGTTCTTCAGGTAATTACTCCCTCCCTTCTTGTACCTCTGTTCACCTCACTCCAGGGATGATTGAAGAAAGTTCCCCACCTTCTTCCTCCTGGCATAAAAGAGAGCAAGTTCTCTGGCCCTGGAGATGTTTCAGCTGAGTCCAGATGACTATTTGGCAGGGATGATAAAGAAGAAATTCTGGTGTCATGTGAAACTAGGTTACCCCTAAAGTCTCATTCAGCTTTTAGATTCTCCTGGATGCTGACGGTTCTTTAGAAAGTGGCTTTAAGAAATCCCAGGGCTGACTGTTGAGAACACCATTTGATAGGTCCCCCGCCCTTCTTTATACGCAGTCTAGTGATTGTTGTCATGGCAACAGATCTGTTCCCGGGAAGGCTTTTCTTTAGCATATAAGGGGACCTGAAGCTTTCGAGATTGTTAGTAATTATCTTCTAAAAAATATGTCCTGAGTATTGTGAGCATTTTAATGGGCCCAGTTCCAGCCTTATGGGGACTTTTGAGGTATCAGCCCCATGTCATAAAATAAAAAGACTTGATTCGTTGTTTTGTTTTCATTTTTTTCTTTTGTGCATGTCTAATGTGGAAGAAGAATCACGATCCTATTGTTAATAATACCTTGCACATAGTAGGTGCTCATATACTTAATATTTGAAAGGCAGGCAGAAAAGCTGAGGATTGATCTAAATATCCTTTATTAGATTAGCAGTTACATATGTTCTTTCCCTAGATGACCTTGAATCTCAAACTAGGCAGGCCTCCCGGAGCTCACAGCTGTATGGTCCAGATCTCCTGTCCCTATTGTTTGCACATCACCAGGGAGAGGGGATCTATGGGTGAGTCTGATATGTATTAAGAACGTCTCATTCCCTCCCACCCCAGGAGCTCAGAGTTAGCTCAGCTGCCGAAATGTTAGGAGTACCTGCTCTTCAGAATAGGATAATGTCCAATTTTAAAACTCTTTCCCCTTTATCTACAAACATCAATTGAGTCTTTATTCGAAGTCATACATTTTGCTAGATACTGGGAATTCAGGAATGGCTCACATGTAGTTGTTCCTCCAAGGTGGTCGCTGTCTAATGGAGGACACAGGCCCATAGAGCAGTAAGCCCAGGATAGCACAGTAAGTGTGAGAATGCCCTTTGTCCCCTTAGTCTCTCTTTCCCTCCCTACCTTTGTTCTCCTTATTTGCAAGGACTGGAGGCCTCTGAATTGCTTCTAATCTCTGCAAGGGAGACTATAAAAGCTTACTCCTTGCCCACCTTTTTATACCAAGTCACTCTGAAGGCTACCTGAATGTCCTAGACATGGGAAAGATAGGAGCAGGTAGGAACTGAAGGACTCTTTCTGACCCTCACTCTTTTGCTGTTGACCCACTTTGCCCTGAGACATTGTCAGCCCTCCCATGCTCTCTCTTTCCTCTAGACCGGGGTTGCCGTTGCACTCGTTGGTAGGAGGACCTCTGGTTAAATGGAAGAGTGTGGTTTGGGATGGGACACTAAGGCGAAGGGTGGAGAAGCTTCATCAGCAGGAGCCTGCCCTAGCAGCAGACCTCGTGTCCTTTAGTGGTGCAACTAACAAACAGTCGTATTTACTGTCTCGGGACATCCCGTCCAGCTGGATTTCACCTGGCAGGGGCTCTGTGTGGTGGCGATGTTCTCAGGGAGCTGGGGAAAGGATTCTGGCTGGTGAAACATTTGAGCCCCTTTCACTCCCAAGTGTGGTTGGTAGTCTAGCAGCAAGTCAGCATCTTCTGAGAACTTGTCAGATATGCCACATCTCTAGACCTTCTGGATCAGAATCTGTGTTTTAGTACAATTTCCTGGTGATCCTTGGGTATATTGAAGTTTAACAAGTTATGTCTTGAGCTGTCTCTTGAGATCCTAGGCCCAGGTTAGCAAGTAAGAGAGTCTGCATCCTTCCATTGTCCTGCAATTGTAGCAGACATTACTAGCTGATCCAGGCAGTCCATTTGCCATCTAGCGCATAACTGGCCACAGCATCCTCCATACAGTGCTCTAGGTATCCATACACCTGATCAGAATTAGCCCAAGAGATAAACCCATTAGCTCAAGAGATAAACCATCCTTGTCTTTGTCTATGAAGAGCTCATTCTAAAAAAATAACAAACAAATGAAAAACAAGGAAACAGCTTTTTGCATAGGCCCTAAGGGTTGAGAATTAGGACCCCCATCATACCCCAGGGCAGTGGGAAGGAACACTCAGGCCCACTGAACGAACAGATGTCGGCAACCTGCACATGCACAATACAGTGGCGGTAAATCAGACCCTACTGGTTCTTTGCAGTTGGGCAATGACCTTGCTGGAGGAAGCGAGGCCATCGTGTTACCCTGGCTCCAGTGCTCCTCCTTGGGACATGTGGTCAGCGCCTGCGTCCCACAATCCCATTGCCTTCTGGCAACTTCCTAACTGATGACTGAGCCACAGTCAGGTTTCACTCATTCATTGATAGTTATTCTTATCTGCATTCTGTTAGAAGAACACAGTTACTAAAGTGGGTGTGGGGAAGAGAACAGTGCAGAAGGAGAACTGGAAGAGGAACCAGAGTGACTTAGGTTATCTGGTAAAGTCTTCATTACATGATGTGACCAGCTCTCAGAGGGGCATCTAATTTAGAGAAGTTTAATTTAACCTCAGAGGGTCTTCAGGATGTTAGAATCGCGTCCCATTTTCATGGTAATTGGGCAAGACTGAGAAAATGTTTTGGGGATACACATTTTATCTTCCACTTACAGCAGTGGCTTCTAACCACTGAGGACTCTCCACGTTACCAATCTCTACCGACCTACCTCAAGCTTTGTAAAATCTTATTTACCGAACAAATGACATTTTTAAGTAATAATTAGGCTCCCCCTTTTCTTTAGAGATAAATAGTAACTGTTAACCTGGGGTCATTTTTATCAGGCTTTATGTAATTCCAACAGAAAGCAAGGACTGTGGGTGCTTAAGTTAGCCTGAGCAGTAAAGAGGCTTTTAGACTTACTGAGAATAGTTTTTGGATTCACATTACCACTGCTTGACCCGAGACTCGATTTGGGAGCTAGAAACTGAAGCCAGTTATGCCCTTCCATTGAAAAGATGGAGGCTGGGAGGCTGGGGCTTGCCTAGCTTGTAGGGACTCAAGGGCACTTTGGTCGTGTCATGGTGCTGCTTTCTCTCCTGTGCAAGCTTCACCCTTGCTTTCTCTCTTGAGTGGTAAAAGCCAGCCTCTTATTTGCTATTCCAGGGTTAGAATTTCAATTACTTTTTTAAAAAGATTCTGTTTAGATCAGAAACCTTCCAGACACTCATTCAGAAACCATCTGGGGAAGGTATGACTTGAAATAGAAATTGAAGAGGTAGAGAGGAGAAGATAGTGTATGAGTTAGTTTAAATGACCCCAGATGAGTTTGGCCAGGAAATCAACTGCAGAATGCATCCTCTGTCCCTGGCCTGTGTCCCTCAAGGGCCTTTGATGGAGGCTTGGCTTAATTGCAGTCACTTTTCCTCTAGAACTTGAACTCAGTAAAGGTGTGCAGTAAAAATGGGGAAGGGGGATGAGGAGGAGCCAGGAGAGAATCGAGGAAGAGCAGATATTACAAGCGTAGAACGTGAAACTTGCCATGGCTGTCTGGGTCCACTTACTCAGTTTGTTGAGCTCCTTCCATGTCTGAAGCTGTTTCTAAAAGGTCAGTTTCTAGAAAACAGGATCCTGAATTCGGCTAAGCGTGATTCCCAGGGTCATCCCTGGAAGATGCCTCCTGCTTAGACAGGTTGCAGAGGGGAGTCAGTAGCTGAAAGGGTGATCTCAGGATAGATTCTCCTGGCAAATAGGGAGGGGTCCTCTGCATGAATAAGCAGTGCACCCTGCCACAGGAAGCCGGCAGGAGGTGATTCATGCTGAAGCCTGACAGTACATGTCCACCCTGAACTCATGGTCTTGGATGCGGACAGGCCAACTGTACACAGTTTAGTGAGGAAGTGGCAACAGCGTGGTTTGAATCTGGCTGATAAAACAGATGTTCAGGGGAAGGGTTCTTATTTTCTCGCAGTTATAGGATTGGGGGTAGGGGAAGAAAATCTAATTCCCTATCTGCCAAATGTTTCTTTTGGTAATGTCCTGGCAACAGTAAGATGCCCCCAAGAATGGAGTGGTTAAAAGTTCTAGCTATAGACTCAGCCCTGGATGTAGATTCTGAATTCTGTGTGACCTTGGGCAAGTTACTTAGCCTCTCTGAGTACCCTTGTCTTCATCTGTAAAATGAGGATAATGATACCTACTTTTGGCGGGATGCAGTGGCTTGTGCCTGTAATCCCAGCACTTTGGGAGGCTGAGGCAAGTAGATCACTTGAGATCAGGAGTTCGAGACCAGCCTGGCCAACATGGTGAAACCCCGTCTCTACTAAAAATACAAAAATTAGCTGGGCGTAGTGGTGGGCGCCTGTAATCCCAGAATTGCTTGAACCCAGGAGGCAGAGCTTGCAGTGAGCCAAGATCACGCCATTGCACTCCAGCCTGGGCGACAAGAGTAAAACTCTGGTTCAAAAAAAAAAAAAAAAAACACACAAAAATTAGCTGGGCGCAGTGGCACTCCAGCTACTCGGGAGACTGATGCACAAGAATCGCTTGAACCTGGGAAGCAGAAGTTGCAGGGAGCCAAGATCGCACCACTGCACTCCCAGCACTCTAGCCTAGACAACAGAGTGACAATCTGTCTCAAAAAAAAAAAAAAAAAAAAAGATACCCACTTTATAATGATACCTATAAGAGGAGTATAATGAGATTTTTAAAAAATAAATACAACATTCCTGCAAGGGTTTGTCATGTTGCAAGCACTCAGTAAATGGTAGCTATTCCTAATAATATGGAAAACTGCAAGATTACCTCCTAAGAGATGATAAAGTCACTATACTCTGGCATAGTTTGGGGATGGACAGAAACCTCCTAAAGGAATAAAGTAGCTCTTAGGCTGGTGACACATGCATGAAACCTGATTTTAGGTGTTAGCGGGTTCAAGGATAGATGTTTATCACAGGGAGTTCTCATCTCCAGCGGGAGCCCAGTGAAAGGGCAGGGAGAGAGGCAGTGTGAGGGCTCTCTCTGCAGAGTCCCAGCTTATAGCCATCCCTTTGTCGGGGATGGATGTAGCAGGCCCTTACTCTGATCCTTCAAACACTAACTCCCTGGTTCTGATTCCGTATTCATCTGGCCACCTTCTAAATTATGTGGTAACCCAAGAAGGCTGCCTGGGAGATAATGCCCTGATCCGGATACTGTGAGCATCTTGTCTACCCGACAGTTAAATTTTGTGAACTAAGAAAACGACATGTGGTTTCTGCATCAGGCCACATCTGCTTTGCTGGCAGGAGCTGGCGTCATCGAGTCGCTCAGACACGGCTTCAGCAGGAGCATCTTTCTGTGCCCACGCAGCAGAGGCAGACCATGGCAGTGGGGGGTTCATGGTGGCAGATGTCGGGGAGACAGCTGGCATTTCCCAGGTGACACCCCCACAGGGTGTTACAGCCAGACACCATTCCATCCGAAACGCAGACAGGGAAGCCTCCCTGTCGGAATGTGTTTGCTCCTAATATGGTTTTCCCATAGTGTGAGCGTGTCCGTGTTTTTGTGTTTCCATATTACCATTCTCGCTTTGCTTTTAAAACAGCAACAAAGAGGAATATTGGTCTTTGTGACTGCCAGTGTGGTGCATGCCAGAATCTCATGCTTGCTGGTCTGAAGCCGCCAGATGGTGGTAGGATTGTGTGTGGTTTTGTTTCCTCTGCTTTTTTAAAAGTCGTGAAGTGGGAGAGACTGAGAAGTGGGAGATTGGCTGGAAGATTATCATCTGATAACAGTTTGCAGTGTCTTCCACCCTGTGTGTGGGCACAATGGTGTCTTCCAAAAATGTGATGCTGACCCTACCTAGCATTTGCTGAATGTGCACTATTAGCTGTCCCGTAAACACCAGCTGGGTTATTCATTACGTACTCAGCTATATACAGTAGCTGAATAAAACAGGTTTTAAAACACACACACACAGGAAATTTTCTGCATGTTTTTCTCTTCCTTGAAGATTGAAGTGAGTTGTTAGGATTGCCATTGTGGCAAAAGGGAAGTTGTACTTCCTTTGTTGGGGGCTTTGTGGGTTTATTTTTGAAAATCTTTTCAAGTTCTTTTACTTTTGTCCTAAGGAACCTAGTTTCACAGCTTAAAGGACTAATGCTTCTCTTCTGTTCGTTTCCTGGAAATCAGATTGTGTGTTTGTTGCAAGCACATTTAGATTAAGCTTGTCCGACCCATAGCCTGTGGGTCCCATGCGCCGCAGGATGGCTTTGAATGTGGCCCAACACAAATTCATAAACTTTCTTAAAACAGATGTTTTTGCGTTTTGTTTATTTTATTTTATTTTATTTTATTTTATTTTATTTTATTTTATTTTATTTTATTTTATTTTTAAGATGGAGTCTCACTCTGTTGCCCAGACTGGAGTGCAATGGCGTGATTTGGCTCACTGCAACCTCTGCCTCCCGAGTTCAAGCAATTTTCCTGCCTCAGCTTCCTGGGTAGCTGGGATTACAGGTGCCCGCCTCCACGCTGGGCTAATTTTTTGTATTTTTAGTAGAGACGGGATTTCACCATGCTGACCAGGCTGGTCTTGAACTCCCAACCTTAGGCGAGCCACCATGCCTGGCCTGTTTGTTTGGTTTTTAGCTCATCAGCTATCGTTAGTGTGTGTTTTATGTGTGGCCCGAGACAATTCTGCCATGTGGCACAGGGAAGCCAAAAAATTGGACATACCCAACTGAGATGATCTTGTAAATGGCATAGGCAAAAAAGTTTGTGTTTTGCAGCCATTTCCAAGGCTAACATAAGGTATGAGGATGCTGCTCAGTGACTTATGTGTGATCAGGGTCTCTACTGAGTGGAGAGGGGATACTTGTCTGGTGTGAACAGAGTCAGGTCTCTATGAAGACTTGCGATACCAAAAACTGGTCACTTCTCCATTTTCTCCCTCTCTCCCTCCACCCCCTGTAGTTAAACAAATGTAGAGCATCAAATGATGCCACTTTCTCCTGGTTGTCCATCTCTCCACGACCAAGGGTAAAAATAAAATGCTGATGAAGCCAGAGGAGCATGGTTTGTTCATTTGAAGTTCTTAATATCCTGAGTGCTGGCTTCGACCTTTAATGAAAATGATGGTCCTCCTGGCAGGGGTCGGCTGCCTCACAAATGTGCAGCTTAAAGAACAAGGATAGTTTCCCTGAACAAGAGAAACAGCAGCAAGCGTGGAAGTCCTCAGTGCATCAGGAACACTCTGCTAATTACAGGCAAGAGTGGGATGCCTGGCCAGGCGTGGTGGCCTGTAATCCCAGCACTTTGGGAGTCTGAGGTGGGCAGATCACTTGAGGTCAGGAGTTCGAGACCAGCCTAGCCAACATGGTGAAACCTCGTCTCTACTAAAAATACAAAAATTAGCCGGGAGTGGTGGCGCATGCCTGTAATTCCAGCTACTTGGGAGGCTGAGGCAGGAGAATTGCTTGAACCCGGGAGGTGGAAGTTGCAGTGAGCTGAGATGGCGCCACTGCACTCCAGCCTGGGCAACAGAGCAAGACTCTGTCTCAGGAAAAACAAAAGGAGTGGGATGCCCAACAGCAAGGAACTGCTGGTTTGTTACTTCGTGAGTTTTCTAAGGCACCTTCCAGCTCTAAGGTCACCATGAAAATCCATCATTTCCAATTACAGGAGATGTCCACTCTATGAGGGCAGGGGGGCTGTCTCTTTACTTCCTAGCACAATAATTAGACCAAGGTAACAGTTCCTTAAAATTTGTTGACTATGGGAACACTATCCTTTCTCTACTCTAGCATCTTGGTTGCCAGGAAGAGGGGTCATCCGGTCTAACTTGGAGATCACCTAAGAGATCCACCTGATAGACCCCTAGGCTGATGTACCCACCTCTAGCCAAGGTCTGGCTAGCCCCTTGCCTGGAGCTTCCTTACTGATGAGTTATTTTGTTGGTCTGGGTTATAACTGTCTACCTACTAGCCTTTTGGGATTTGCCCCTTGGTCTAGATCAAGCCTGTTCAACCTGCGGGCCTCATGTGGCTCAGGACGGCTTTGAATGCAGCCCAACACAAATTCGTGAGCTTTCTTAAAACATTATGAGGCTGGACATGGTGGCTCACACCTGTAATCCTAGCACTTCGGGAGGCCAAGGCGGGGGAATCACTTGAGGCCAGGAGTTCGAGACTAGCCTGGCCAACATGGTGAAATCCCATTTCTACTAAAAACACAAAAATTAGCTGGGCGTAGTAGTGCACACTTGTAGTCCCAGCTATTTGGGAAGCTGAAGTGGGAGGATCGCTTGAACCCAGAAGGTGGAAGTTGCAGTGAACCATGATTGCACCACTGCACTCCAGCCTGGATGACAGAGTGAGACTATGTCTCCAAAAAAGAAAAAAAAAAATTATATATATATGAGATTTGTGATTTTTTTTTTTTTAAGTTCATTTGCTGTTGTTCGTGTTAGTGTATTTTATGTGTGGCCCAAGACAATTCTTCTTCCCATGTGGCCCAGGGAAGCCAAAAGATTGGACACCCCTGGTCAAAATCTTTGGGTAAAGCATGGTCTTAGCTAGGGCATCACGATTGAACTTTTCCAGGCCTAAGAATTGAGCTTCCTCTTCTCTTACTAGAATTCAGGTTCACACTCTGATGCCACTTGGAAACACTCTTACTTTCCTTTAAAGACTGTGTTCCGTCACTTCACGTTATAAAATAAAAGAATCCTGAAACACGCCCGTGTGATTGCAGAAGAGGGGTGCCCAGCTTCGTGGTCAAGTCTGACGCTCGTGTGTGCAGAGCTGTGTCAGCTGGGGCTAGTGCTGGCCTCCAGGCATCCCCCGGGGCAGCAGATGGTATACCCAGCCTTGCCCTGCTCGGTCCAGCCAGAGTGGCAGTGATGCACGCTGAGGCAACTTCTGTGATGCAGCACCCGGGCAGTCCTCCAGCCCGCCGTCAAGGTGAAGAGACCGCTGCCAATTCAGGACTTCTGGGCTGTCTGAGAGCAGGGGCTTGAGAGGAAGAAGAGACTATTTTCTCATGTATTGAAACGAAAATATTACAACCTGCCATGGGCCATTGCAGAAGTGTCCCTAAGTGGCCCTGAGTGTCCCATGACAGTCCCGAGCCCTGGATTTTGTAGGAGCTTTCCTTTTCATTCTTGGCTGGAAGGAAGCTGGTGATGCAACTGTTGTGAGCTCTGAAATATAAAA